ACCCGAGAGTGTTGAATCCCAGCGAGGGAAGACCCGGGAGTGTAGTGTTGAATCCCAGCGGCGGAAGACCCGAGAGTGTTAAATCCCGGCGACGGAAGACCCGAGAGTGTTGAATCCCAGCGACGGAAGCACTCTCGGGTCCGGCCACGGAGCCCCCGACAGTTTTTGAATCCCACCTGGGATTGATGAGGTCTAGCTTCACGAAGACATGTTGCGCGGCTTGAAAGTGCATGCCTCAACTGCGCAAGCAACGCCATGCAGCTAGAGCAGCTAGAGCTTTCGTCACCTCCCTCTAATCTCAAGTCTAGGAACAGTACAGGGCAAGCTCTTGCAATGGTGTGTGCCTGTATGCCTGTGAGAACGGCAGTAAATCCAAAGATGATGCTTCATAGCAGGGAGTTCGCTGCACGACTGTGCTGGAAATCCGCTTGTTCTAGGACCTAAAAGCATGGCAGGGAGTTCGCTGTACGACTGTGCTGGAAATCCGCTTGTCTTAGGACCTCAGAAAAGTGGAACGCATCTCATTGAGTGCATAAATTCTAAGGAGTACCGAAACTTTGACCCTGCTCGGGTGGCTTTGCTGGGTGGACGACATGCGTCGGAGCTTGAGTAAACCTTGTTTAAGATGAGCTCCGGCCAACGGAGCTTACTAGCATGTGTGTTTTGCAGCACGTGGCGCCCTAGTCTGGGCAGTATGTCGGTATCCGTTTTCAAAAGTGTTTCAGTTGGTTGAGCGCCTTTGCAACGGTTCCGGCACTCGAGTCGTGCTGCAGCTTGGCTGAGGCTTTTCATGAGCTTGGCTTGAATTGCCTGGGTGGCTGAAGCTGTGATTTGCTGGAAGCATCGCCAGCTGTCGCTGTGTCCCTTCCTGGCAGTGCCGAGTGTGCGGGAGTCAAAACATGACATGTGCGCTGGCTGCTCCAAACTCTAAATGGCAGGCCGTTGGAGGCTTTGCATGTGTATTTACATCCCGTTCTGGATGTTTGCAGATGGTGCGCAGATTCTGAGTGTGGATCGAACGTTTTCGAATGTGGTCGAAGCGTAAAAGCAGTGACCGTGCACTAGAGCAGGTTCCAAGAGGTGTTCATGGCGAAACTATCTTGCAGGTGCCGTTGTTCGATTCGACGCATTTACCGTCCGTCAATTGACAGCTGTCGATGTCTTGTTGTCAGCAACAGCGGCAGCCTGCTCAGCAAAGCGCGTCCTAGTGTGCCGCTCCGCGAAAGAACACTATTCTGACGTGGGTCGTGCGACGTGTGTTTGAATCATCACGAAGTGACTTTCGGGCAGGACGCCGAAGCAGCACTTGCTGCCTGCAATGGTATTCCATGGCCTTCGACATGGCCACAGCGTCACGACGGAAAGACCTTGCAGTTGATGTTCAAAGCCGACTGGCTTCGCGAGCGCCGACGCCTGGCTGCACTCCCCTTTTCCCCGTCCTACTTCCCACAAGCCATGGCCAGGTCGGCCATGAGATCAAGTCACAAGTCTTGTCATGTCTTTCCATGCCTTCTGCGAGGTGATTACAATGCGCTTTACAAAGCAGTCAAGGGCCCATCGTTCCAGACAACGTTTACTAAGCGAGAAGCCGCGCGAGAGGATGTGGCTGAGGGCTTTGGCACCGCCGAGCCATCGCCTTCCGTAGACGTGAACCCTGAAGCCACTGAAGCCCCGCAAGCTGCAGCCAGACGAAAGCCACCTGGGTCTGAGATACCTGGATGCCTTGTGAGACTGACTGGGTTCTCTGATGCTGAGAACGTACTTTGCATCCGTCAATATGTTGAGCATGCTGTGACAGTTGTCTATTGTGACTACATACCCAACACGACAGTTGCCCATGTTCGGCTACCGTCTCCGGGAGACTGTGTCAGGCTTCTCGAAGACATGAAACTTACCAGTCGTTTGCTGGGATGTCATAGGCCAACTGCGGAAGTCTTGAGTCCTGAAGAGGAGGAGAAATATTGGGTCGAGAGACTCGCCGCCTCTGTTCGAAGTCGGGAGCCGATTTCCAAAAAGAGAGGCTTAACACCTCAAGCATTTCTCAGGCGGGATCTTGATCACAAAGTTTCACGAATCAGGCGATGGTGTCCAAAAGTTGCTTCTGCTTCACACAAGTTCAGAGCTGGCTTTACAGACACTGCGGGAAGTAATGCAGACTTTGTCCCAGCTGGGTTCGGCAAGGCGAGGCGTGCAGCCAAGGTGGTGCCGCCAAGAGAATCAGGTGAAGCACCCGAACTTCCGCCCTCCTCGAAGGTTCGACGGAAGGAAGGATCCCCTCGCCGGGGCCCGCTCGTCCCGCCCCCAAGCCCATTCCAGCTGCCAGGCACTACTCGCACGAGGGCCCGACCTGCAAGGAGAGCACCGTCTGTGCCCCCTAGCCCGTGTGCTCAGGACTCCCCGGAATCCGACTCCGCCCGCCCTGTGTCGCCAAGCTCGTCAAGACAAGCCGTGACATCGCCACACTCAGAGCCTGGAAAAGCGGACGGGCCAGTCAGTCCGACTGCACAAATGCAGGAACCTCCGCAAAGCGATGATCTCGACATGCTGCACCCCGACTCTGATGCCATCCTGGATCTCCTTGATGAGCTCGAAGGTGACATGTAGACATGCCAGCAGATCTCCAGGTTTTCATCAGGCTGGTTCGAGTTCGCATCGTCAGCTTGTCAGCTTACGTTGTCCTCTTCTCAAAGATGCAGAAGGACCCCCTGTAGGTCAATTTCACATTGACACCTGGGCAGACTCGACAGCCAGTGTGGAAAATGGTGCCGACATGATGACGTGTTATGAGGAAACCAGACCTAAGGTGCTGCAGGTGGAGACTCGGGCACGTTTGCTTGTGTGAGTGTCACATGTGGCCTGGCCAGGATCTTATCGAATGCGTCGGTAACAGCTCAAACCAGTTGCGCGCTTGGTTTGCTTTTGCGTGTTGTGCGGGGGGGGGGGGCACGCATATGTTCCTTTGGAATGGACAACCATCCAAGAAGCAAAATGGTCGACTCTAGATGAGGTTTCACAGCCCTGGGCGTGATTGGGTGCTCCCCTGAGGTTTGTTGCGAACCTATTCCGCAAGGACCCCAAATTTGCGGAAGCTTTCGCCAAGGAGGAGGACGTTAATTTGAAGCTGGCTTGGGGGAGGTGGGGTTCTCCACGAAAATTGGGTAACGTTTGGTCGGCTGCAGAGTGCAGGTCCATGCAGGACCTCGCTATGATACCAGGCACATCCCATGTGTCCTTTTGTACCAGAGCTGCATGGCTCAGATGGGCATGAGTAGCTTGGGGACTAGGTCTGTGCATGCGGGCTGCCCGGTTTCGACATGAAGCGGGTAGCGAACAAGATCACCAAGTCCTACCTGATGGACCCTTACTCCATGCTCATGCACTACAAGAGAGCTTTCAAACTCATGAAACACATGAAAGCGAACCACGCCAAAGTCTTGATCCTGGGCAACAAGAACCAATTTGGCATCGACTGGAAGGGTCGCTTCGAAGGAATGGATTTCGACACTGGAGTTGTGGACGAGAAGACAATCTCAAGCGCTCCGAAGCATTATGACATGATCTTGTGTCTGGATCCTGTGCTCTACTGCAGGTCACTACATCGAATCAATGTGCCTGTGATGATGTGCGCAACGCCAAGGGAGATAGCCGAGCATCCGGAGATCTTGAATGTTACAGACTACTTGCTTCCATCCCCTACGCGGCGCCATGATGCCGCGCTTCGGGAAATTACAGCTACAGCTGAGATTGGCAACGGAGTGAAAGAGGACGGAACGGGAAGTGCCACAAGTCTCGACAAACTCCAAGGCATTGCTGAGTAATTTCGGCTCGGTACAGTGTCGCGGCGCCATTGAGGTCCAACGGATCAGGGTCTCACCTCCCGTAGCAGCGTTGTTGCGGGAAAAGGGTTCGAGTTTTTGCGCGTTCTATTGCATCTTGCACATGCGGGCGGAGTTCTGATGGCTTGCAGGATCAGCCCAAGGGCGGCAAAAAGAAGAAGTATACTGCCGGATGCTCAGCAGGAAAACAGGTGCAGGCTGCAAAGTCGGACAAACCCTTCGAGACTGTTGGAAGCATGGCCGTCATGGCCCATTGTGGAATGAAGTGATTGCAGGTGTCGTCAGAGTTCAAGGAGCAGCTCTCCAGCCTGATGGCACGGAGCTCAGCCCGCCGGTTGCGAATTTTTTGTGTTTCAGCCATGAGTTGTCTCAATTGTTGGAGGACGTCGTGGATCTCACCGAGCCCCACTTTATCCGATGCCCTTTGGCGCTCTACAGCTATATGGCATAGTTGTGTGAGCGAGGTAGGGATAAGCAGGGCACTTTGCACAATGCCATCATGTTATGTGCTTCAGGCAGCGCCCAATTTCCAAATTTGACGCCGACCTTTGCATGGCCTTTCTTCTCCCAGGCATCAAGCCGAACCCACAGAACCTGCCGGACCTTTTCGACAGAAAGGCTTTCCAGGGTCTGCTCGATCTATGGGGCCGTAAAGCCTTAAAGATAACAGTTGACTTGCAGGGTGTCACCGAGCAGCTGCGCTATGGTGGTGTCTTGCAAGTTGTCCAAGTCAGCTGGGCTCTGAGTCTCGCGCAATTGCCTCACTTGAGAGTGCATGCATTGGCCGGTTGCCATCTCGCACCCTGCAGTTTGTGTTTTGGCACTTAACTGTTTCACGTCAGTTGTTCGGAATAGTTGGGTGTTGCCTGCTTTCGACTACTTCTGTAAAGCTTGGGTCGCACTCCGTTTCATGTCGGCCTTCTACTCGAGCAGAGTGGATTGATAGCGGTTTGCTCTGGATGTTGTACCACTCGGCCAAAAGGGTTGCGATTGCACAGATGTCGGACACAAAAGCCACAGGAAGTTCTCGAAATCTCCGGCATCAGTTCTCCCACCCAGATTCGGTCTCGGCCGGCCATCTCTTGAAGCAGAGTGCGCCGTTCGATTCGCTTGGGCTTGGAACGTGCAATGAATATCAGCAACACCCACTGGTAGAAAGAGTCAAACGCAAACGGTTCCAGTCGAAACAGTGAGCAAGGATCGCAGACTTTTTGCGTAGGTCGGGCAGGCTATCCGGTCCGGATTAATCACCAGGACATCGGGGAGTGAAAAGCCAAGGTGTGAGATTTCGCTTTCCACATGAGCTGTGCAGGAGTGTTGGGATGACTACAAGGTTGTGGGCTTGCCAAAGGTCATCTCGGAGCTTCGACATTTGCAGGACACGGAGAGTTCTTTGAAGCTGCTTCAAGCACCGCAAATGGCATGAACTCTGAGCACCGGCGCGGAGGACCCAAAGATTCGGGCCTGGAGCCCAGCTCCAGCCTTCCATCTTCCGGGTGTCTCTGCACAGGTTTCTGAAAGCTCCTGTGCCTCGACAACTTGAGTTCATGTGCAGGCTCAGAAGCTGTTGGAGCACCTGGATGCAGAATTGAACATCCCAAAGCCAAAGTTGGAGACTGAGTGCAGTTTTCGAAGTCAGCTTCGTCCTGGCCTTTTGCTTGCTTCTCGTAGCAGACTTTGGCGCTCACGCGGTACATGGTCGTGAATTGATGCAGATCTTTGAAGACAAGTGTACCGGAAGCATGGCACTGATGAGCCCATTGTTGCTTGGCTCACAGCTTTGTATATGCCGTATGAACTGGCAGCGGTCTTTGCCGCTAATTATGGCAAATCCCTCGCGATGCGTCGATAACACCCTCTCACCTTTGTTCCGATCGCTGACCCTCCTTACAAGCCGGACTGGGCCGCGACCTTTGCCGGCAGTAGAACACCGGACGCGGCATCGGGAGCCCAAGCCGTCGCCCAAAAGCAGTAGGAGCAAAGGTAGTTGGTAGAGTTATGTAGACTTGGGACCCTCATCAGGTGAATGATGGAGGTAGCTTCAGAGCTTTACTTGGTGACATGACTGCGCACGGGGCTTCGTGAGGTTTAGAGCATTGGTCCTTCTAGATATTTGTGTAAGACTCAGTTTAAGATGTGTGCTAGCAAGGTTGGCACAACTGTGAGCCTCTCTAAGTGCTCAATGAAATCTTTGATGTCTGATTCCTCCCTACTTTATCTATTGGCAGTTCTGGACTGAGCGGCATCGCCAGTTGCCAGCGACTTAGAGAGAAATCAGCGAACTGGGATCATGGCAGTCAGGCGCCTGCCAACTTTCGTTTTGAGCTTCTGTTTTGATCCCAACAAATTCGCAAGACCAACGTGCAGTTCACGCAGGTTTCTTCATTTGCCATCAATACTTTCTGCAAGGATCCGTTTTAAATTTCTGCATGCATATTTCTATTGCCGCAAAGAGCCTCGATCGTCGACGGCAGCTGAGTTGATGAACTGATCGCTGTTTGCCTTGTGTCGGTTGTTGCGATGGTACTTCCCGAGCACTGGTTTTGTGACTCGACATCCTTGGAACTGCAGGAGCACACATGTCGCATAGCAACGACACTGAGTTAACAACACATTTTCGAGTTCTTTGCGAGACTTTTTTGAAAAATCACGTTCAGTCCCCTGCCAGGGCTTGGCTTTGCGAAGCTGCGTGACGCTTTTTGTCAATTTTCACTTGAGAGGCTGGCACGCAATTACATATGATTGTATTTCTCGTTGCTAAAAGCTCTGTGAGAATGGGTTCGAGACATTCTTGTGTTGCTGAAATTTGAATTCTACCGTGGCTCTCGAAGCCAGATCCCATTCACATGTACTAGATTTGTTTCTCACTCTTAGAGACTCGAATCTCACGTACGATCCAGCTTGAAAATCACGGCTTCCTCATAAGATCTCTTACAGTATATACTTTCACAGGTTCCCTACAAGAACGCTGCTTGAATGGGTCCGCGCGGCATCGCGCCAAAGGCACGCATTACAGATGTAGACTCCTCATTAAATGCCTTATCATGTCCGAAGAGTTGTAAAATCGCGACAGACATCACATCCAAGAGCATCCGCCAAGCCAGACTAAGTTCCATTCAAAACTTGTCCTCTGTTCAAATCTTGACTGGCGCAGAGTTCAGCTCCAAGTCGACTACTTTTCTCCTCGAACGAAGTCGCTGCAAATCTTACCAGGGCTCGGTGACTTGAGCGCCAAAAAGAGCAAAATCGCATAGCTTGAGCTGAGCCGCGAAATCAAGATGCCAGGAGCTTGCAAGCGGCAAGGGGGGGGGAGGGCGAATTTTGTTTGGTGTGCAGCAGTTGCCTTTCTAGGCATGGCCAGTCGTGGGCAGTTGGCAAGACATTGGTCTTCTTTAAGCTGCCAGCTTACGTGACCGGGCTGCAGTTGCCGAGTCGAGCGTGTTGTGAATGTCAGCAGATACAATAGCTTCGGAGGGCAGTGTGGCATGTGGCAAGACAAGGAACGTGTAAAGTTTGCTCGTCCGCACCTCGGACTTTTGCAAGTTGAGTTGCCTCAGCTGATTCGGGTTGGCTCATGCAGCACCTGCAGCATGCTCCTAACAGCTGTCAGAATTCTACTCAAGAAAAAGTGCGAAGTGTTTGCTTGGATCTACGTTTGTTTGTCTCTTGCCATCTGCTATCTTTTGGGGTGGATCACCATTCACTTGACTTGATCCCCGTTTTTTGGACAGCTTGCGTGATCCTGGTGTGGGATGGCTGGTGCCGAAGTTTCTGGAGAGTTTACCTGCTTGTTGGAAGCAGTGCGCGAATTTCACGGTGTCTGGTTTCCTGACGAAGCACAGCCAAACTCAGTGCAAAGCTTTTGGTTTGGAGCAAACCGTCCTCGAGATCGCAAGCTTTTCAAGCAATTGTGTGAGAAATTCTCCGGGCCTCTGCATGCTGCTCAGCGGATTCATGAAACCGAGTCTGGCTCTTGTCTGCAAAGGCTAGACTTGGCATCTCAATTTCTATTGGCAATATTTCTAGACCAGCAATCTCGCAACCAACGTGCAACGCTGGACAGATGCAAAGGCCAGCAAAGTGAGGAAGCAAGCAAGGTCGAGGAGCAGATTGCCCTCTGCTCTACTATGGCACGCGAACTTGCCGACAACATCCTACAAGTTCAAAGGACGAGTGCCGACCTTATGGAGGCAATCGGTGCTACAGAGGCGCAAGTTTGCTTTTTCACGCTCGTCCTGAGACATACCCAAAATCTGGATGACGTACGAACTGCGCAGCGTCTCCTCGACGAGCTGAGTTCGACCCACCTGGACGTCGTAGATGCATTTCGGCGACGGAACGCGGAAGTTTTGGTGCAGCTAGAGTCTGAAGCCTATGTTCGTGAGGCTTTGGAAAGTCACACCCCTTGGAAAGCATCTTGTGATGGCTCGAGGCCATCTGGTCAATTTGCTACAGTTTGTTTGGCCAGTGCATGTTTGGACACCTGTGGCTCGGTTTCTCCAAATTGTCTTGCCTGGGCCAGCCGCTCGGACTGTTGGGATGAACTTGTGTCTCATCCGCTGTGTCAAGAGCTGCTTCGTGAGTTGAAGAGGCGCTCCTTAATGACACCCGAGAGCCACGTATTGCTCTCGTATTCTGGTGGTGTGGACAGCACCGCTCACCTCCTATTGTTGCTCGCCTTGAAGCGACGCTTCCAAATGCCTCACATTTCGTGTCTGATGCTTTCCTATCCAAACCGACAGGCAGAGGAAGTCGAAGCAGAGCAGCTGTGGGCCGCGTGGGTGTGCCACCATCTTGGAGTTGAACTTTTCATGTACGAGGTGTGTTTGGCACGTCCCCATGCTGATGTTCATGGTGCTTGTGGACTTTCCCGCGAGGATTATGAACGCTCCACTAAAGAGATTCGATACAAGATGTACCGAGCTCTTCTGTCAAACTCAGAAAAATCAGTGGTAGTACTCGGGCACCATCAAGATGATGTGGACGAGAACCGTCTCGATCATCTGATGAAGGGTCACGTGCTTGGAGATGTGGAGGGCATGTGGGCTTGGCGTCAAATCCATGGCGTGCAGCTGTCCAGACCTCTGATTCACAAACGAAAGAGCGACTTTCTGGGCTTGCTGCAAGCATTTCCTACGCCTTTCTTTCGGGACTCGACTCCGCTTTGGTCCGTTCGAGGTGCTACACGGGCAGCCTTGGATTCACTTCAACCCGATGTTCGCGACTTCCTTGTCCTCAGGCTACAGAGCTTTGCTCAAGTCAGTCTTGAGGTGGGGAACCTGCTTGACCAGGCAGTGGACACGTGGGCGGAGGGCCACGTTCAGGTCTTGCAGCTGCCGCGGAGAGCATGTGGCCTTGCGCTGGACTTGGATGCGCTGTTCAGTTTGGAAGTGGGCAATCGGCTGGCAGATGTGGAGTCCATCCTTTCCGAAATCACACAGCTTTGGAACCCACTGGTGCCGAAAAGCGCAGGCAGAGAATCTGGTGAAGACCAGACCGAGGGGCCGAAGGGGTCGTCATCAATATCGACCATACTAGACAACCCTTTCGATGTTCCTGCGCTTCTCTTTGAACGAGGTTTTTTTGCAGCAGCACGGGATCTGGTGTCGAAGCGGCTTGGTCACTTTCACAGCTCCGAGATTAGTTCTGTCAATCGCAAAGCTGTGCACCACCTCTTCGCCAACATTCGGAATTGCACGAAACCACACTTTAGTGGGGGCCTCTCGCAAGAGCTGCTCGGTTTGCAGAGTGGCCGTTTAGTGCGTTGAAAATTTGAGATGGCATGAGATCGGCATCTTGTCCTTAGCGGGAAGGATCAACCGCATTGCCCGATAGCCCGATATGCCCTTTCCCGAGTGCATGGATGCAGGGCGTTCAACTCTTCATGTGCCACGTCCACATGCTCTTGCCAAACTCTGGCTATCCCAAATCCAAAGCAGGACCAGTGTTGTGACTTGTGCGTAGCGACACAGGCCAACCCCTCACTTACAGACCCAGCCCAAGCCCCAACCCCCGCTCCCAAGCATCTCGACTCCGCCCTTTACTTCTTAAGCCGCTTGCGATGCTTAATAGGATGTAGTGGGCGCATTTGCTTCGCAGCTGCTCTTCGACATGTTCACGTTGCTTTGTAGCCCTGGCAATCGCAATTTTGCGCCTACAAGCTGCAGCTGGTAGAAGGAACACTCCGATGAAGTCACAGTGAGCGCGATGTGCGAACAATCTTGAGCCAGTTTTGCCCTCTCCCATTCTGCGGGAGAGATTCACCCACAGGTATACTTCTTTTGTGACCCAACCCGACAACACGCTGGGGCCTCGCAAGAGCACAATGCAGGCGCCAGAATACTTGCACCGGTCCAGGTCCGAAGCAGGCAATCCAAAGTAATGTTCGCCGGTTTCCATTGTTTTTTTTTCAGAATTTGACTCTGAATCAGTGTCGGAGTGGTCACAACCGCTCGACCCACCACTGCTGAAGGCGACTTTTTAAGTTAGTATTGACAAGCCAGGCCAAGCCAGGCCAGGCCCGGCCCAGACCAAAGCCAAGGGAAATCCAACCCAAGCCAAAACTTATATGCTCGCCCAAACCGAGCCACGCCGTTTTGAGACTGCGTCGCTTGGGTTTAAGTAATGCCATTGCATACCTTTGCTGCTCCGAAGCCTGCAAACCCAGATGACTCGTGCGGCTTTGTCGTCCTGATTTTTCCGTGGAACCAAAACTGCGAGTGGTTACCACAGTAGTAGTTGATGAACGTAATAGCAATAAAACCGACAGTGAGGATATCTCCTGGCCGTGAAGCCAACGTTGCGGTTAGTGATGGCAGTATTCGTTTTGCCCCAGGGGATCCAATCCCTAGCCCCAACCGCCTGCTGAAACGAAGCCAGGCCAAGCCACCCAAGCGTAGTAAGGCCTTGCACGGTCTGAATCAGGGTGGATAGTCAGCACAATGCCTTGGAATGTTCTGGATCGAACAGCGAGTTGGGGAATCGAAAACAGAGGCCCGGGCTCTGGAAAGAGGTTCAGCGAGTGGAAGCAGGAGGCTACGGGGAGAGGGGGTCAAAGAAGCACTCTCGGCCGTTCTTGGCTGATTCTGTTCCACTGCTCAGCTCTCGCTCACGAGTTTGAAGCGCATGTTCGTTTTTCGATTCTGGTAGGGCATCTTTCAGTCACATGTTTGGTGCGAAAAAATATATCTGGTTTGTGGCCTCCTGCTTTCGTTTGCTCATACGCTGACAAGAGCTCCGCAATTTCCATGATAAGGACGCAAGCCTTAGGAAGAAATGTGTGTCCAAGAGATGAGAGAAGCACACCTGCAGATTCACAAGGCTGGGCTACCTGCATGTTGCTGGACCACGACAAGTTCTGGTCTTGTACGACGTCTCCGCACATCCCGAAGTGGATTTCAAGACACTCCGAACAAATATGCTTAGAAGTGTGATGACTGCATTTGGCGGCGACGAAAATATCGAGACATTGGGCCACGGTACTCAGCTGAGCGATTGAAGAAGCCTGTGTAAGCTGCGGGCTTGAAGGCTTGGAGCTGCTGATCAAGAGCACGACGTTGATCCAGGCCGGTTCTGCCCGCATAGGCTCATCAGCATATAGCTGATCATGACCTGCAGGCGTCATGGCGGGGCAAGGTACGGAGACGCATGCAGGCCGCCTAGATCCTTTCTGCAAGGCATTTTTGGCCTGAGTCTGCAATCCCGCCTTTCTTGCAGCTTTGACTGCCCGAGGTTTGTCGCCATACGACTGTTCACTCGTCATGCGATGTTCTCAAGCCCTCACGCTTGTAGCTGTCTGTGACTTCTGTAACGACCTGCCATGGTCGCGATTGGTAAGCATGCTGATTTTCGTGTTAAGCCGTCGAGGTGCAAGCGTTGCTGCGGTCGAAGCAGGTGCTCCTGAGAGCTATGAAGGTTCGTGCTGACTGGGACGACTTGGAAGTTTCGGACAGGCTCGCACTGACCTTCAGAGGAGGAGGCTCCGTGCTGTGGCCACTGGTCAGCGTGTTGTCCACGTCCAGCCAGGTCCGAGGACTGTGCCACGAAGCTGCAGGCTCACGCCCGAGCCAAGTTGGCAGGGAGCCCAATGTCGACGACAATAGGTGCTCAGCTGATGTCCAGGAGTCAGTCCTTACACAGCAATGCACATGTCAAGACAGACATGGGTACATGCTCGTGTAGTTCAAAGACCTTTTGGCCCCTTCGGCATGCAGAAGGAGAGTACAATCCGCCCAAGTTATGCATGTGTCAACATATATCGAACCGCTTTTTGCCGGTTCAGCGCAAGTACTTTAACGACGGGCATGCCTCAAGCCTTGTGAAAAGAAAGAGAGAGGCCTCGCCATTGGGCGCTGTTTTGCTAGCTCCGCCCCGCAACAAGTGGTTGCGCACCTGCGCCAGAAAGAGAACGACCATTCATTCCTCTGTCTCGATGATGGGAACAAAAACGCCGGACCAACTACCGGGCCAACACCAGCCGTGAACAAAGATTGGGACGCAACCGTGTCGTGTCAGTGAGGTGGCGGATTGGGACCCAGAAGATGCTGCAGAATGATAACCGGGCGACTGACCTCACAGCCTCCTCCTGCCATCTCCTGACGCTGAAGTGGCACGCCAGGGACACTGGCCTTACAGAACCACCAGCGACAGACATCCAGTCCGGTGACTCAACAGCTGAGACACCAGGCGTGGCGAGTCGGGGCATGGCACAATAGCGCGACGAGCCTTGTGACTTCCCAGATGAAACAGTGGAGTGGCGAAGAAGAGAGGAGCGGAGACGAGCCGAAGCGAAAAAAGGCAGCAACATGCGTCAGCAGGATTGCCGGCGAGAGAGACCAGCGACAGCAAGCCCAAGTGAGCGCATTTTTTCACTTCCGAGGCACGGAGTCCAGGTCGGACACAGCCTAAGACGTGCAGTAATTAAACGTGGGAGCTGGCGCAGAAATCTATAAACATAGTATGCGCTCACCAGAGAAGGGGTGGGATGTAACCAGCAAACGGAAAAGCTGTCCCATCCCCACAACAAAATCAAAAGATGGCACATGAACGATGTGTAAAGAATGCACGGCAAACTAAGGATGCGTATTCCGTAGTCGGCGACCAAAGCACCAGACAATATACGATCCACATATCAGACCTAAGTAGTGCAGGATCTTCCTCATGTATATCACATGAGGCCATCCCTGCACGGTGAGATACCGAAGATGCCTAAACACCTCACTAAACACCTCCATCGAGGTGATATCGGGACATCAAACTCAACAATAGAATGAAGGCCATAAGACCTCCAAACTCGAATGCAAAGCGCTCTAGCATCACTCATTTGTCGAGCCTCTGCTCTGCTTGATGCCAGCCGCAGACTCCCCCATGGCGAAGTGTGCGAGCGTGTCCTCCAAACCTTGTGGTGATCCAGATGCCCTCGCCTGACGAGCCTCTGCTCTGCTTGATGCCGCGCGGCTGGAAATCCAGCATCTTCTTGAAGGCAGCGGCTACGGTGAAGTGTGCGAGCATGTCCTTCAAACCTATGCTCAACATGACCACCTTGCAGAGTGTGTCCTTCGAGCGCATCAACGCCTCCACATCGGGTGAAGTGCATGAGCTGCCAGGTTGCCGTTTGGTGGTCCAGATGCCCTCGCATGACGGGCCTCTGTTCTGCTTGATGCCGCGCAGCCGAAAGGCCAGCGACTTCTTAAAGCCAGTTGCAAACGCATTGGCCGTGTAGTATGCGAGCATGTCCTCCGAACCAATGCTCAACATGGCCACCTCACAGCCCATGGTCGCCGTCATGTTGGGTGAAGGCAAAACCTGAATGCCCAGCTTGTGCATGGCACACTTGCCGTCATGCACTGCTGGCCCGCAGCCGGCAGACGCATCCATGGCGGGTGCTGGGGCCAACAATATTCCTGCCCTGCGCAGGCGATTTGGGCCCTGAGTGAGCGCATAATTTCACAAACGCGCGATTCGTGAGCCTGTGTGGGCCTTCTTTGCTGCATCTCGAGGTTGCCGATACAGCGGGAAACCCATCCTGCAGCAATTTCGATTTTGGCCGCTTGACGGACGGCTAAGCCTTCGCAACTCCTTTCCATATCTCGACGGAGGACCCTACCTTGAGAGCCCAGTCGCAACGGCACATGAAGATCTGTCTAGGAGCTAATTTGGCATGTTTCCTTGGTCGACCCTGCGCATGGACAGGTTAAGGGCGCATAGTACATTGGGTGCACGTGATGCAGGGGGCAGGGGTCGCTCTGTTTCCTGCCTCTCTATGTTGAGAGTTGAGACGTGAACACATGCCTGCACAAACTAACCGTGTGTGCTGGGTCGGGCTTAGCAGTTCATTGCTATAGAGTGGATGGTTCTGTTTTGTTGTTGTGTTCTGCGGAAGTATTTGGAAGTAGAGTCGCTAAAGTCCTTGTAAAAAGCTTCAACCGCACATGAGGAAATCGAATTTGCGCCAAGACATGTGCCCAGGCACGGATCAGGTACCAAAATATCCTGCGCAAGGCAGAGATGGGGCGTTGGGGCGTTCCTTCAACACCTACCTTCATGCCCTGATCAGGTGATCAAGATTCAGGCTGTGCGAAGAGGGGTGCTTGGCCGCCGATATGCCAAAGAGCACAGGCGGCATGTCAGCGCGGCCAGGTGCCTGATCAAATGCACCACGAGATACGTGCTGATGAATTCCATGATATGAGCTTAATTTGCGTCGTCAATCTCGGCAGGCTGCAGAGTTTGGTCCGCACTCGACGGGAGCAGAGAATCTACGACGCCCTGAGGCAGCATCACGGCCAAACAGCTGCGGCCAGAACAAATTCCTTTCTGCTGATGAGGCAGTCGATCGTATTTGCCCAGCAGCCGCGCCCCAAGCCTCGTTCCAGGAGGTGTATCCATCAATTCGGATGTGGTGGGTTCTTGGAATGACATGGGCGACGAAGCCAGTCTTGCCGCTGAGTCGTTTTCCGAACTCTGACCTGGCACATCTTGGCACCATGAAGGCGTCTCCGCATGCGCAATGCAAAAGGGCAGCTCAAGAAGTTGAAGCAAGAAGCAAAAGAGGCCTGAAGCAGACTGCAGTGAGGAGCGATGACTTGTGTAGCTTGTGCGGCTTGACTTTTATGGCAAGGTTGGAGCCATGATGGCCAAGGCGCAAAAGGCACAAGAGCAGGCAAGATTTCAAGGGGTGCAGATCTCCAGGTTCTCCGGCAGACTTTTGGCTATGAAGATTTTACAGTTATCAACCGTTCCGTTTCTGGATTCAGAACAGCAGTTCATCACACAATCGGCTTCGCAGCCCTTCTGTCGGATCAACAGTAGGTACGACGAACAACCAAGTTCGTTCGGGGTATCGTAGCATCGGGAGAGCCCCGCAGTCATGTTGGAAGGAAGACCCAGCGGGGCATGAAAGGAAGACAACTGTATTCCAGCATGAAGAGCCCCTCCCTGGGGCGCTAAGGTCCTCTTATATACGGGATAATTCGGCTGTTGAGTCAAATGATTTTGATTAACCGATTAACTCAGCACTTGTTCATGTTGGGCCTGGACATGTTCCTCTTCAGATTTGATTAGAACCCTGAAAAGCTTTGCTTGCAATGTTGTCAAATTCATCATCATGTGCAGTGCATCTTGGCAATAATTCCGTCTGGATGTATTTCCACAAAGTCCATGACGTACAAACATGTACTTCCGGACATGAATGTTAACGCAAGAACATCATCTGACGGAAGGTGCATGACCAAAGTCGGACGACCAATGCCCAAATGGACTCCAGCCCGCAACAAGTCGCAGAAGATGAGGCAAAAGACAGTGCCACAGATCAAAACCGAAACTGGATGGTTCCGGTGGATCCGGAATCATGTGGAACAGCTTTCATTGTTGCCACTTATTCCTTGAAGGCTTTGTGGCTGTCTGCGGGCGAAGCGCCGCAGCGAAGCGACTTGCGATTCTTCTGCTTGTCTTTGTTTACCCGCCAGGTGATGTTCTAGGAAGGCATTGACCTCTTCATGATTTTAGATGCTTTAGATATGGGGTATTTATGGGGATTGGCAAAGTTCGAGCCCAGCGAAGTTGTGCACCATTCACGCTGGGTTCCGAAGTTATATCTTCAACAACCAGGCGACAAACACACAACTTTCACAGTCAAGTGTGACAAGTGTGTGCAAACGTCGCTCTTTCTGTTTCTACATTCCGGGATTCCGACAGGCTTCCGAAATGCGAAAGCACAACGAGGAAATGGAGGCATTGGGTATACCAAGTAAGTATGATTGTTCATGCTCGTCGCTACGAGATGGTGCCGCAGGCTCACCAACTTCAACTACAGTCAGAGAACAAGACTCTGTCGAATAAAGTCAAGCATCTCGAGGCAAGCTCCTTTGGTGTACGGCATTGTCAGTGCACTTTGGAAGCACGGTTGGATTCGCAGGAGATGTTGCAGCAGATGCAGCAGCAATTCGAGGAGCACGTGCCAGCGAGTTACAGTAACAGTACTGTAGCTGCTTCGCTTCGTTCCGACCCGTTGCATGGCATTTGTTTTGGAAGGACATGAAGGCGCAGGCGGCTGAAGCTGCCAAGTTGGCTGCGGATGGCTCGGATCTGCTCAGCCGCTGAGCACCTGAGCAGACGTTGCAGCGAGTTCAGCGAGTCCGGGGCGTGCTAGGGGGTTCCTTGCACAAGTACCATGCGGAGGAACGGGGGCAGAAAGGGGACGAACACAGTTGTGGAACCGAGCCAAGATCCTGTACGAACCCGCGACAAAACGGTGAAATTCACAGGTTTTTCTACGGGACCCTCGAAATTGAACCTAAAAGTGCTGGGGGGAAAGGGAGTAAGTGGTTCCAACGAGCTGTAAACGCCCCAGCCGCCGGCCTGGGCGGACTTCCACTCAAGCCGATTAAGGTGTTCACGGAAACAGATCGCAATTCGGATGGCTCATTGTCCCAGGCGGATCAATCCAAGACGGTGGTTGAGGCGGAGAAGATGGAGTCGAGCCGTCTGATTCATGGGTGAGGGATGTTTGGCTACGAGGCTACGAGTTTGATGCTCATGACATGGTGAAGTGCGGTCCTGCAATCAGCCTGCTGTGTTCTCTCCTTGCCAGGGGTCTCAACAGCCAGCTGAGCCAGCGCGATGAGGAGCTGGCCGGGCTTCGCAAAGAACTCCAGGAGATGAAGGACTCGGACTGCAGATTCTGCAGATGCCGAAATCGGCCACCGACTTTGATTGCTTGAACAGCCGTCCGTATCAGGAGACCCACACCAAGCAGCAGGAGTCTCTCAAGTCAGCAGAGGCCGAGTGTAGTCGGAAGTGGAGGCATCAAAGCGGCTTCACTGCCCAGGCCAATTACCAGCAGCTTCTCCGAAGCACTGCTATGCAGCCACCCTTCCACTCGTTGCTGGAAGTCTTTGCATGTCCTGACTCGCTCATTGCTTAAGCGTCAAGAACCCAAGTCGTAGCAGTCGCACCTGTCCGTGCCGAGTGCTCTGATACTTGACCATCTTGGCCTCGGCTCATGTCTAAGAAGTCTTGTGACCCCGTCGAGCGCGTGTGCCAAAAAAAGTCTTGCAGCCGTCCTGACTTACATAGTCCTGTGTTGAGCATGCAGCCTGATCTAGCAAGACGTGCTTAATTCTGGCTTTGGCAACTTTGCCTCGCTGTCTATATTGCTTTGAACTTAGGCGTGAAGAGAGTGAAGATATCTTGACTTGGGAACGTGTTGGCGGAGATCAACTTGTCCAAGCCAGCTGATAAATCATGTTGGGGAACCGGCCAGGAACCTGTACCTGGGATCATCGGAAACATCGAATTTTTAGAGTATATGGCACTTGCTCGACTTGGCTGTTCTGTGATGTTTCGTGACTACGGACTCTTTTGTTCACGTCGGTCGGTATTGCATTGCCATCAATTGCTGAAGCAGAACCGGGTACGATCAAGAAGCGCGCAAGAAAAGCCACCTGCGCTGGAAAGCTGCCAGCACAGGGTTAAGGTTGGCTGTTTGATTCTGCATGTCGACTTGGAGACTGGTGCGTTTTCTCGGATAGCTCCAACTCTTACGGTGCATGCCAGGTCCGTTGGTGCAAGTGCCGGCGCGCTCCTTGCGAACTATTCTCTTTACTTGAGCAGCGGTCAAGGTTCAGGAGGGTCCCTATCCTGCTACCTGCTACCTAAGGTGCACCAGCACCTGTTGCACGCAGTGCAGCACGAGGGAACCGAAATGTTTTCATCCAGTTGGCAAGGCCCTCAGATTGGCAACCGGAAGTCGCTGCCCCCGAATGTGCGAGAATTGCGCGCACTCCACGCTGAATCAAGCACACAGTGCAGTGATGCAGATTCACTGCATTGCCCCCACAGCCAGATGCTGCCATGCACCTGCCGTCATGATAGGACAGTGACAGAAGCAGCACACTCTCGGGGCTTGTATTTTGCCTCACCACGTCAATGCCTTTTCAGCCCCCGAAACCACGGGCTCCATGGCAGAAGCCCAACACTGAAGTAACCCCTTCCTGAGCAAGCCTGCGGGCCATGTGTGGCATGGACAGCTGGCCGAAGCGTGGCTATGTCGACGCGTGGAGGATCACTCCCTTGACTTTGCTGTGAATGTCGCAGCTCTCCTCGTTAATGCAGTGTTATGCGGTTTTCCTCTGACACCCAGGTCTCTGGGACCCGTTGGGGGAAGAGCAGAGCGCAAGTAGCTTTGCGAGCGGTCGAACCTCGCTGTCACGCGTGGATCATGCTCTGCGTCTTCTCAAAGCACTGAAGACGGCTCAGATTGCAGTCCAGCGGCCTGTCGATGAGTCGGCAGAGCCTCGGCCCACAGCCGTGCAAGCCGAGCTTCTGCGTCGCCATATCTCATGGAATACACCGCAGCTAAGGGCAAGCTGTCTGCCGCTTTCCCACCTTGGCTAATTATCACTAACGTTTCTGCTGTGTTTCTTGCTGCCCTATCCTCAGCTTCTCCGGGCCTAGATATCATAGACGCACAAACATCTGCATTGGCACCGCCACCTGCTATCATGCCTACGTCATGCAAGAAGCACTTGAGGTGTTGACGGAGGCCATACTGAAGCCCGGCTCCATGTCGGGAAATCCCAGCTTGCAGCATCCCCGATGGGCTGCGTACATGACCGGATGCACTTGGTGAGAAGATGGTTTTTTTGCAACATGTGATGCAGTCGCCATGCACATCTATACTTGCAGGACTCTGCTATCTTTGATCTTCTGCTTGACGCAACTGTTGAATGGGGTGCGTGCTTCTTTTGTGTCGCCTGGCAGTTTTGTTTCATACTGGACTCAACTTCTGTCGGGGCGGTTCATGCACCCGGAGACATCCAATTGTGGACCTGTTTCTGTGCAGCTGCAGAAGTGCTAGCTTATCCACAGCGGAGGTTCTGTGGCTACTTGGTCATTCTCGCACTTCTGGGCTTGCTGACATATAGAGATATTGTCTCCGGCTTCTCCCGGAAGCCTGGCTGAAAGGTGTTGGGTTCAGGCCAGGTCTGAGGCGAGTTCTCTGAAGGATCGGTCCATGGTTGCCGCAGCTGCAGCTCGTCATCATCCGTGGGATAAGCAGCTCAGGAGCCGAGGGAGATCGAGGGAGATCGAGGGAGGGACATGCAGGGCCTGTAGTGCTTTGATTTGTAGAGAACTTCGACTCTCCGGCCAAAATCTCTAATTACCCGCTATGGAATAAAGCCTGTGCCTTTGCGAAGTCTTCGCGGTCGGGCAGGAATAATGGAGTTCACTTTGTTGCGGATGCTGGGCCGAACTCCCGAGAAAGGTGCAGCCGCGGTCTGAATGTTTCCTCTGAGCACATCCTGTTCACGTTTTTACAACCAGAAGCGAGGCCTACTGTACGGCTACAGGATGCGCTCAGGGCCACCAACATCTGCAAGACCACGTGCAGGGCAGTGTGACAGACGAGACAGCCTGTTCAACGCAAGAACGGTAGAAGACCTTGCCAGGGAGCCTGCAGCCGCATGCTGCACTTGACCGTTAGCGATTGTAATCCGTACGTTGCCAGGCATGTCCGAGTGCGAGTGTCAAAACACCCGTCAGTGGGAGGCACTGCGCGCTTGCGCCTGTACAGTGCAACTCTGTGCCTGGGAGCAGCTTTGCAGCACACAAGCTGCTGAAACTCTTGTGGTCGGGGTGTCATGGGATTGACCAAAGTTTCCTTCCAGACATCTCCGTTGAAGCTGCGACCTCAATTTGTCAAGGCAGCTGGACCATGCAGCCGTTGAATGCGCAGCAAAGGCGATTGTGGGAGCATCGGCCACCATAGCAACAGCAACGCCGGTGATCATCCAATGGGCGAAGTGTCATGACTTCAAGGTGCGTCCGCTGCTTTTGAAACCTGGCGCACTTTCTGAGGCTTAGAGGTCTCTTGGGTCTTGTACGAAGGTGAAGTTTAACATGGCTTTGGTATGTTTCGGTGCTCTCTGAGACACTGTGGATCTCAGGATGATGGTGGTAGCTGCGATGTGTGGGAATTCTGTCTTTTTAACGAGCAGTCCGGCGTCCATTGCCATCCGTGACGTGATGCCCCTTTGTTCCGCAAGCAGCAAGCGATTCCGTTTTTTATTGAGCAAGAGCAAGAGGGGATTGCAGTATGGCCGAAGAGGGCATGGTGGGGTCTGGTCTGAAAGGTGTGTCGGAAAGGGCCGGACTTGTTCGATCAAGTTCACCTCGCAGACACCTCTGGCAACTGGGCAGCAGATGCGGCGCAACAAGCCACCGAGAGACGGCGACTGTCGCCCAGGCTCTTCTCCAGGCCTTGGTTCTGGGAGTCTATGCGATGTTTGTCGGCGATGTGCTCTCCAGAAAGGATTCCGTCAAGCCTGAATTGGCTCCGCCCCTGCTTTGCTGCTACCAGTGATGTCACACAAGGGGTCCTGGGGTGATCTCTGCTTAGGTGCGCCACAGAACAGGATATAGCGATCCAAATATCCTGCCTCCGACTCTGTCGCGGCAGAGCGCAAACCTTGAGGCGACTTGATGCGAGTGGTGAGTGAGCAAAATCGTCAGGTCTCACGATGCTCACACTGCTGCCGCCCAGATAGTCATTTTAGGGTCGGTTGCTGTCCGAAACCAAAACTTCCTGACCGGGTTTCGAAAGAGCCCCATGCCCACGACTGAACAAGCAAAGATGCAACGATGCTTCAAGTACAACAACAGAGGCTACACGAGTTGACCGAGCAAAGGTCTCGCTCTGAGATCACGACAGGAAGCTGACAGCCAAAACAGGATCATACAGGATCTCAGCAAGACGGACAACATCAGAAGTCAATCAAAAATGCAAAGCACACGGGGCTCTTAGCCTATCCCGAGACTATGCCATGAAGTATGCCACAGTCTATTGGCGATGTTTCGTGCACCGCTTGTGTGTGAAGATGTGCACATTGAAGCGGCTGCATGTTGAGAAGTACTCGTACCTGAAGTTGAATCAAACTGCTGCCAGCCTTTCGCTGGCCGACCTGAGGTTTTCTGTTGTGTGTCAATGAATGTCGTCTGGAAGTTGCCACACTTGCACGCGGATACTTGGCTTTCTGATCTCGTGCCCTGTCTTCGACTTCCTACTGCGCAGGTAGCCTCTGACTCTTTTCGCATCAGCTGGGAGGTTGCCCTTTGTCTGAAACACAGAACATGCCGAAACGTGCGCCCTAGTCCAGCTCGGTCTGGAACCTGAGGAGAAGTTTCCGTATGACTTTGGGCTGCATTTACATATTCGTGCACCTGGCGCCACTGTGACACAGATGGCCGAATTCTTCTCAATGCAATTGTTGAATGGATGGCCGGCCGTGTTTACGAAATGTGCAAAAGTCCTGCCCTTCTCCTTTACCACGGAGGAGCTGGACTTCGTGGTTGTGTCCGGCTCCATGGTCTGTGGCCACACCCTGCGCTCTGCTGGCTTCATGAACTCCAAGGAGGTTCTCATTCAGAGAATCTCCAGGCAGATCGGTGAACCCCTTGTCTGAAAACTGCCCGATCGCTGTCATCATGTTGGCGCAGGCTCCAAAGCCTCGCAGATGATGCGCATCCGGAGATAGTGTCTCATTTGACAGCTCAGTTCGACCTGGACGATTGGTGTCTGGAAGTAGACGACATCATCACTGCCAGCCCCTCTGGCTAAGCGGATGGGCATTTCTTTGTTACATGTTTGACATCAGATATCTTGGCTTCTCCTCTCTGTGCCTCATGAGGATGTTCTGCAGCGGGTGTTTGCAGCATGCGCCGCTACCCGGGACTTTTCGTGATGCGAGGATGTTAAGCATATTGCAAGCCAGAAGTTTGCACACCACGCAAGAAGCAGTGTCGTTTTCCCTGACAAATGAATTAAAACCTGGTGTCAGGACTGCACTGCCATCACATCCTGGGCGGACGACGTCACGAGAGGCGCCTCTATGAAAGCGCAGCTGGCTGGCAGTAAGGCTTGAGGCTTCAGAATTTCCAGGCGGCTCAAAAATCCAGGGCTTAACATAGTGCACTCGAGACTGGACTCGCTCTCTCCAAATTGGCACGCCAGCGCAACTGTGCCTCTCTAAGGTAGTGTCACCGGGCAGCGAGCTGGTTGGAAAGAGCTTGGAGGCGGGTTGCTCCCGTGCACTCCTCTGCATTGAGTTTTGCGATCAGTGTCGGCTCCACTGGTGCGGCCCAGCCGCTCAGGAGCTGCTGGGGCTACAAGAGCTCTCGCAAGAGGAATCAAGAAGCCAGGAGGAATCAGAAGCTTGGAAGGCTCAGACGTCAGCTGACGCATCTGAAGCAGACCGGTCCGATGTGACTCAAGGCGATACCTTGGTGTGTGCGAATGTTCAGAGGGTATCCTTTGGCCGCTTGGCGTCGCGAGGACCGCGAGGAGCTCTCATCGCAGGTTGCAATCAAGCCAACAGGTAGGAGATGATCTCTGATCCAGAGGAGGGAGGCCTCCGCAGCCAGTCGCTGTGCACGCATTCGGATGTTCTCCAAGCGGGAGATGTCGTCCTGTTTGATGCTTTTCAAGAGCTTGGGCTGCACGTAAGCTTTTCAGTATGTGATTTGATCAAATTGAACGATCCCGATTTTCCTTGGTGCAATTTTCACGTGTCCTGGATATTCCTGGATGCCGGTTGAGTGATGCATTTCATCATGCCATGTCATCCCAGACCGCAAGCAAGGAGTTTCCCAAATTGCAAACGACGCAGCGCAACTTCTTAGTGTCCGGTCTTGTGCCGAACTCCCAGGCAGGCTGCCGAAGCAGACGACACGATTGTTTGTGAGTGAAGTAGGCTCAGCACGCCTGCTGCTTTTCTGAGGCGCCGCGTCACGGCCGCTCCCGGGATATGTGGTCACTCGGTTCACTCCTGTCAGGCGCTAATAATTTCAGGAATATATACAATGTTCACATGTTTCGCCAGAAGCATGTCGTGTATTGTCATGTGACACGCGCAGTGTGTGCCGGGACATCTCCGGCAGACGACGTACATGCCGCAGCTGCTGCCGGCTTTGCGTCGCCTGATGATTTAAGCTCCCACCCACTTCACCCATCGGTTTTACGAGAGCGAAGGGTCGTCGCTCGCTGGGGTGCTGATTGCGTGCCGGGCGCCGGACAGCGATGCGTCTTCAAGCCATCCAATTTAAAATGACAGTTTGCGTTTTGGAATTTCGTCGCTTGTCGGACCTGTCGTGTGTATCGTTGCCAGCCCTCTACACGTGCCCGCTGCTCCCTGTGTATGAGTCAGCAACGCTTGCCGGTCGAATGCGTCAGCAATGTAGGACGGTTCTGTGGGCTGGGTGCGTGTGTGTTCGGGCCCCGTGCGATCTCTTTCTGGCCACCCCAACAGGGGCCAACCAACGTGGAGAACAGTCCCTGGGCACCTTGGAACCTTGCAAAGTACTGCGAGCTCCGGAGTCGTTTCGGCAATAGAGTCAGTGACAACGCACTTGTCTTCAATATTCGGTAACGGAGCTCTCTGTTTCGCCGTTGGTCCAAGAGAACGAAAAGAGTTCCCTCATAGGTTGAACTTGAAACACCAGGGCCTGTGTGTTAAGAAGCAATAAACAGCATTTTTTGGCATCAATAAAAGCTAGCGTGTGTTCCATTACCTATTAGTAGTCTTCTGTCAGCGTAGATCGCGACGACCAAGCCGACGACGATCAGCAGGACCTGCGGGACTACTACAGCGACCGTTTAACGACCACTACGACCCTGGCCAGAACACGATTGTAGTCTAAATGTAATGTGCATCGCGGCGCGAAGTTGCCGGGTGGACCGAGCCTCACGGCCCAGTATAGCCTATGCCTATCCCCTACACCTACCGTGCGAGCCCTATGGTGCTGCACTGCAGTCTGTAGCAGCACCAAACCACACAGTTTCGGGAACACGGCAAACGAGTTTTCATCATCGACGCTGCCGAACAGAGGCGAGGCGTGCTGGCAATCGTGGCCTTCATTACTGCGATGGTGCTGGACTCCTGCTTAGAGGGAGTGCTAGCACGCGGCGTGCCTCAGGCAGGTGCAGTTCAGCACCGCCTCAACCAGCAGGCCATGCAATGAGCAGTTCGGTCCTTGTTCGACACATGCGAGTAAGGACAACTGGCAGAGGACTGACCGACGGGACTGCGACATGTCTTCGATTGCCAAAGTTGAGGCCATGCACTGAAGGATCAACATCTTAGTCAGCTGTATGTTTATCGTGGGCATGCTGCTGGTCACCTCGGCCGTGAGGGCAGACGACATCCCAGAAGCTTGGTGTTCATTCTACATGGCCATTAGCATTGGAATTCCCGAGACTCGCTGCCAAGGAGATCCTTGACTGGAATTCCTGCCTGACGATTGGCTGCGGAGAGGCGATTTTCATAGCCATTCGCCGCAGCGGTTGCTTGACAGATCGGACGATGTGTTTTTCCAGCAGTTTGTTTGGACACAGCTGAGCCCAGGATACATCACGTTTTCCTTGCGACTTGTGACATTTTGCTACAATGGCCCAGGGCTGGTGACGGCACTGGCTAAGCTCATTGCGCAGATCGGCGCAATCGGAGGCCGGAAGAAGAGCTTTCGTGATTGAGGACTCATCAAGCCACTTGATGCGTTGCCTGTGCGGCCTTTGCGCTGAGGATTCGGCCCCAGTGAAGGTTCAAAGAGCAGGAAACAAGAGCTAGCAGTCAAGCAGTCATGGAAGGCAGCCCCTTGCAGCTCTGCATACTGTCGATGACAGCGCAGCTGGCGACTGCTTGCATTTCCCCAACACCGGCAGGCCAGCTTGCCAAACAAAGACCTGATCGCATTGACACTTGGTGATTCGCTGCGGCGATGTGCAGGCCTGCTTATCGCAAACGCAGCGCTTGTGACGGACAGCGAGTACCACCAGTTAAATTCCGAGCCACTGGTCCATAATATGAATATTGGTGAGCATTGCTGATATTTTCGGGTATCAAGAGTTTCACTCGTCTACGTTGAGCGAATTGCCGCGTTTTCGAGCATCCAGGCAGCTCGTTGTTCTGGTGGCTTGGCAGAAGCCTCTAGAATAGGATTCCTTCATCTTTGGACATGGGTCGAGCTTCCTGCTCGTTGTATATGTTTGGAAACTTGGACCTCAGGTCATGATCTCGTGCAACATGGTGCTGAATGTCCAGATGCCTGATGATCTCATGCGTGGGAAGAAACGGAGTTTTAGTCGCCCAGATCTCTTTAAGTCGTGGAAGCGTTTGGTGAAGCGCAGTTTCCCTATATGGTGTTTCAAGGTGTTCGCCACTTGCTGTTTTGGCAACTTCCAGCTGCTGCTCTGATCATGGTGCTGACTGTGGTGTGGACACTCGTGTGCTGAAGCTGCACTTTCGGCAGGGCTTGCGAGCATTGCACGAGTCTCCGAGTTTCGTGTCCGCCCAGGTTCTATCTGTCATGAGCCCCATAGACCGCCCTGATTTGATGATCTATGCTGGCCCTAGAAGAACAAGCAAACGATCAAGTCATGAAGTGGGAGGCCTGTCTCCTGCGCGCATGAGCTTCAGAAGAACGGCTTCTCTGAAACTACAGGCCCTGTCGATCTTGTTCGATGTCCTGAGCGCGGACACACGGCCCGACGGCCCTTGCAGGCTTCCGAAGACTGAGTAATGGGGAAGCGAGGTGCACTCGCTTTCTCTCGCTTGCGAAGGATTTGGAAAAAAGAGGGGCTCTCGCATCTAACGTATGCTGAGGACTGGCATCTAATTGAAAGTTGATTGCCAGACGTGCTTGCGGGACGTGCTGCCGAGGTCGGCGCAGCGGCCACAGGCAAAACAACGATGCTGGGGTCGCTGATACAGGCCCGGTTGACAGCACTCATGCTAGAGAGTGGCACTTCGGCGTTTCGCCGGATGTGTCTGTCACGCAGGAGAATGATCCAGGGCAGATGTCCAACTTCGAGGAGCAGAGGCAGATTCCTTCCCGGTTGTCGTGGAGATCCTAGAGTTCTAAGTTGCTCGCGGCAGGAACAACCTTATGGTGCATCATCAGTTCCAGGCGAGAACGGCTTCTCCCTTCTCAGCAGCACAGCGTGAAAAGCCGGACTCCGAGTCGAGACCCTGCCAGATAAGCGGCCGCCCGCTGAAATTCCTGGATTGCTCCGGCAACGACCGCGCGGCGCACTTGGTGAAGGCCGGGAGATGCCGGGGCCAGCCAGGTGTTCCAAGCTCCGGAGCGGGCAGGAATGGTTTGCTCGCACACAGTGGGTCTTCGTGGTCTACAACTTGACCGACACCAGGCGTGACAGGATGTCTCGAGTCGCAGGGCATTGCGCGACACGAGTACATTTGAAAGGTCCTACGAAAAAGCTTTGACATTGGTTACCGAAGCCCGGCAAGTCTCAAGCTCAGTCGTTTCTGCCTCCCTGCGGATTCAAGAGATGGTTGGCCAAAGTGGGGAAGACTTGTCCGATTCCGTCGGAAGAGCCGGAAAATGCCGATCTCCTCAGGCTGGGGCCAGTGTCGTGCTGTTTGCCAACAAGTTCGTGGGCGCCTCAAGCATCTGCAGTCAGATCTGAGGTCTGAGGTTGTCGCTGAATCATTGTCTCTGGCTGATTCCAAGGATGTCAATCAGGGCAAACCAGTCGAGGTGCCAGCTTGTCGAGAGCATGACATTGGAAAACACTCGCACCACGGCACGTGCTTGCGCTAAGCCCAGACTCAGTGGCCAAGACTACTCTATCACTTACCGCATCGGTCAGGTGGTACGATGTTGTATCAGATGCTTGTTGTGCAGCTGGCCGTGACCGTTATGAAAACAAACACAGAATCATCAGAATTAGTCTGTGTGATTGGCTAGCGTGGTAGTGCGTGTCTGGACAATTTTTCCCAACAGCAACACCAGCACCCAAGATGTCATTTATCGAAAGCAGCATGAAACGAAAGAGAGGCATACCCGCCCGCTCGCATGCGTGCACGCATTTGTAAGTTTGTCTACGGATGACTAAACTGGTTAGCAGCAAGGACAAAGATGATGTCGGTGATGAGGGTGGTAACGATAATGGGGTCTCTTGGCGCCATATGAGAGTTGTTCTAAACCCCCGGCTCTTTACCATGGACTAACAGCGCACTTTAATATTTGGATTCAGGTTTGGGTTTGGGACCTAGTAAAACCACGACGCTGCGCAAGCGCGCGCAAGGGCGAGCGCAAGTTCAGCGCAAGGGGAACTACTACCTACTACTAGTATCACTACTACTAGCAGGAGTCCTAGTATCATTACCAGTACTACTACCTGTATTAAGCACAGATCCGAAAACAGTCAAAATCAGTTTTACACAGGGTTCAGCACGCAAGCCGCGCGCAAGGGCGGCTCAAGGGGAACCCTCCAACTTCGACCAATGCCCCATGCTCTTGCGTGACAGTTGTTTGAAAACCCACCCACATTCCCTGCACGAAATCTTCAAACCGGATTCTGGACTTGCTATTGTCCGGCTGGTCTATCAAGGCTACAACGTGGGAATGTGTTTGAAACTCTGTACGCGCAAAAGCGCGCAAGTGCGAAGCGCAAGGCGATTTTCGAGTTGCGGGCTGCAACCAGAATAAAGAACAACCCCCACATATGCCAGACGCAAAGAATTGCACGCAAAAAATGAGATGATCCGTGAGGGATGGGGTCGTAGCACCACTTCATGACACCGGGAATGATGCAGCATGAAGTCAGATGAAGGTGAGAATGAGAATTATGAATGAGACTACCCGTGCGGGGATGCATGAGCAAGCTCCGGCACCTCTGTGGTGCCTGGTCTTCGTTGCCCAGGACACACACACCGTGACACACCGATGGATTTCGGCAACGGAAGAAGTCATGACGAGCAAAGTTGGGTAGGGCAGGATGTTGCAAGCTGTCATGCAAAACGATGGCTGCTCTAATCTTGCCAGCTCAGGGGCCTGGCCTTTCTAATCTGGTCAGCTCAGGGGCCTGACGTGTTGCAGGTACGTCAGGATGATCAGTCCTGATATCCGCAGTTGTTATGGCCGCTTCGTTGGACCATCGCTCATTACAACTGGATGGTCCCCATGCTGTGTACATCAGTTGACTTGAAACTGCAAAGGCAAAATTCCTGCACAGCATGCTGGTAAAACATGCAGCTGGATGCTCACAGTCAATAAGAGAGAGCCTGTATTCCCATGTGCCATGGAAGTTCACACACACACAGCCCCGTGTTGGGGCACTTTGCTCGATGTCCTCACGATGCAACACAGTCTGTTAGGGCATTGTGAAACTAATAACAGCGCCACCCTTCTCTCACAGGCATCTTTGCACATGCTGTGTCGGGCTCTAATGCTCTCTCTCACTCTGGATCGACGCGGCAAAGGTGTAAGCATTCTCAAATGACGATGAAGACCTGGGTGATGGGATGGCGGCGGACTTCTTTTTCTTGGTCTTCATGGTTCGTGATTGTTTTTTGTGCTTCTTCGACTTCTTCGAGGCTCATTTTGACTTGGAGCTCCGCTTCGTGTGTGCTTTCTTGGGTTCGTCTCGACAACGTTTCCTTGATGGTGACCCGGTTGATGTCGGAGGGTCGAAGGCTGCATGCCACGCGCTGGTTGGAGAGGAATCTTCTCTTTGTTCTGGTGGAGCCGTGATAGTCATGGAGCCCAACATGTTGCAGATGCTGAGTGAAGATGGTTGCGGAAAACGCTAAGTTCATGTCCGTCTAAGTAGTCAGTTATGATTAACTGACAAATGTTTTGCTTGCTTGAACGCTGCTGATAATGTAGGCCTACATTACCTGTCCACATCAGATGTGAAGCTGATCCACTCAGAAAAGTGACCTATTACCTACAAAGGTAAAAAGCACATTGAATTATGCATGTCCCTTGTTGGGTGCCATCTCATCGCTCATGGAGATCTTGTTCGTTTGCGTGGTGTTGTTGGTGGGTTCGAATGATCGCGACGGAGATCTTTGTTGTGATCATCTTGTCGTCGCGCCTTGTCCTGGATCCATTGGCGGGATACCTCGAACCATTGCCACCACCATGTGCCGCTGTTGTTAGTTTTCCAAGTCCATTTCTAGGCATGAGGGACCGGGCTGCGACTTCTGGCTGGCATGTTGGTAGAATGTGCTCCAAAAAGATGGCTGCGGGTGAAATCAACAGGTCACTGTTGTATGCAACATGTAGTAATGTTGCATAAGATTTCTGCAATCACCGGTGTATCGTTGGATCGCTCCCCTACCTGCACGTGCAGTGTTTTGGAGTGTCTTTTAAGCATCACAAGATGTTTGGTACTGTTCCCGTAGTGCTTCGGACGCTGCTTGGAGTTTGGCCTACTTTTTGCTTCAATGATGTAAGCTCCTGAGTGGTCAACTCGATGACATCGGCAAGCTGAAGTTTGAACTGGTCGCTCAGTATGGACGAACCTGATTCAGACTCCGAAGGTGCGGGCTCAGTGTGATCAGCCTGCAAAATCTGCAGAAGCTCATTGGCAAGAAGATGATGACTGGAGGCTCCATGTGTCTGACACTGTGACGCTTAGAGCAATGACGCTGGTGTTTGGCCAAGTGAGCTCAAGGCATGTGATGTGGCTTTTATGCAATTGATGTGCATGCAACTTGAATAAGTTTTCAATCTTACCGTGCATGAGCCGTCGGGTCCTGATAGAGTTGGACAGTTAGGACCAGTCCGTGGCATTCTGCCGCAACAAAACTTCCATAACATCAAGTTGTTGCTTACACCCGGCAATCATAAAGACTACCAACTGATGCTGTGTGACAAGCAAGTCGTTGATTTGATGGAGCAAAGTCTCACCTTTGGTAACCGTCTGGTCAATGTCCTGCTGCATGGAGTTTATGTTGTCGAGCTCGGATGTTTCATCATGATCATATTCATCTTCTTCGTCTTCCGGCTGCTGCGATGGCGGTAGACCCGGTGGTGTTGCCGGAGCTGGGACTTTGTTCTTTGTCGGGTTGCCCTCGTCGGCCATCTCGAACACTTGAGTGGCGATGCGCGTCACTTGACGGTGTAGTTGATGTGGTTGCGAAGCTTGTGCCCGTTCCTGCATAGGTGAGTGCGATCTTGATGGCGCCGCAACGGGCTCCGGGATTCCTTTTCGTGCTTGTTGCGGTGTTCGTTGTCGACGCCGAGACTTCTGGGGAGTCTGTGGCTTTCCTCCAATACATGGTTGCGTATTGCTGCAAACCGCAACTGCACGCTGGGAAACGGCTGCGAAAGGCACAAGCGTGTAAGGCCAGTGCATATTCACACCACTAGCCAAATTGCACAATGCATGCTTGTTCGCGGCAGGGCAATTCCTGTTTAGTTGTTGCGTGCCCTTGTGTGCCCAGTGAAACGTCCATCATGGGTTATTGGGATGCTGTTCACTTTCCACCAATGTGGTAGGCGTTGCTCATGTTGTTTGAGGAGAAAGTCACATCAGTAGAGCTGGTGGGTGTGGTCGTTGACGAGGTGGCAAATCTGGTCCTTCACATCGTCGACCACCGCGTGAATGGGTACGTCAAGTCGCAGTGCCCAAATCCCCGGTCTGGGGATGTTCTCCACCCACAAGGAGTACATGTCCTCCAATAGTTGCTCCATGCATCGTCTCTGGCTGGGTGTCAGATGTGCTGACATGGCTTCATGATGGCTGCTATGTGAGAGAGCCAAAAACACAACTTAATCGCATCATTTTCAAACATCATCAGTGTATTGCTGCTTTGACTGTCATGTGTTTATGCAGTGTTGAGGAGGCGCAAGTGGCTGGTTTTTATGCAAGCACGGCGTCGCCAGTGTATCCGGCAGCTGCGTAGAGGTGCCGTATGAAACGTATGGCTCCGATGGCTTCATGTGACAATGTGCATGACTACGAGGTGAACAGACTCGCTGAATGAGTCTGATGCGCGCTTGATAGCTGCTGCGCAATACTTGTGTGGTTGTGGCCGAAAGTGGATGTAAGATGTCTGCTGTGGTGATGTTGTTGTGGTGAGTTACACTGCAGCGGTGGGGATCCAGCGCGAATCCCAGGAAAATGTTACTTGTAGCCGGTTCAGTTTCAAGTTGTACCGGTGGTTTGTAGAAAGCTGTGTTGGTGAGTTGTTTGAGTGGAGGCAGGCAATTGTGTGAGGTGCTTGTGCAATAGCAGCACGCTAGAAGGGTAATCTCTGTTCTCCTCGCCAAGGGATGTGCAGCATCTGATGTACCCCGTCAGATACCTCCACGGTAATCGCCCGTATCTCATCCGGATCCCAGCATCCCCGAGAATCTGTCAGCTCTTTGATGCTGAGATTGGTAGACTCGGCCATTTCGATCAACGTTTGCGTAAGTTGATGTGCTGCTTGCAAGTAAACAGGATGCGGCCGAACTCGTTGCTGGGGTGGGATCTCGATGGACGGCGTCACCAACGTTTGGGCGGGCCGCCAGCTAGTGTTATCCCGGGTTGTTGCTCGTGGTTGTTGTTGGTGAGTGTCGTGGGTTGTTGTTCGTGATTGATGCTGGTGAGTGTCGTGAGGTTGTTGTTGAATCTGGCTGGTGATTCTGCGAATTTGGTGTTGAAGTGGTCCAGGATTGTTGGTTGGTACCGTGGATGGGGGAGGAGGCGGATTGGGAAGGCTTGCTTGGGCCGGAGTTGCTCTGTAACTCCATCTGTCTTGGAGGGAGCTTGTCTGCTCCGTGTCCCGTCTGAGGCTGGAGTAGCTGCGAAGTATCACAGGGGA